CACTATGTCTTGCCTTTTTTTTTTTTTTTTTTTTTGCAATTAAAGCCACTTTGTTTCAGTGGCATTAATTACCTTCACAATGTTATGTGACCATCGCCACTATTTCCAAAATTTTTAACCATCCCAAACAGAACTCTACAGCCATTAGCAATAACTTCCCACTTCCACCACCCCCCAGCACCTAGTAACTGCTGTTCTGTCTGTAGGGAGCTTACCTATTCAAAGTATTTCATGTAAGTGGAACACGTATTTGTCCTTTTGTGTCTATTTCACTTAGCATAACATCTGCAAGGTTCATCATGTTGTATGTATCAAAACTCTATTCCTTTTATGGCTGTATAATATGCCACTGTCCCGTATATGATGCATTTTCTTCATCCATTCACTTTTCAATGGATATCTAGGTTGTTTCCAAGTTTTGGCTACTGTGAATAATGCTGCAATTAATACGAGCATATAAGTATCTGTTCAAGCCCCTACTTTCTTTTAACTATACATCTAAAAGTATAAATGAAGGGTCATATGGTAATTTTATGTTTAGCTCTGAGGGAGTGCTGAACTGTTTTCCACAGTGGTTGTACCACTTTACATTCCCACCAGCAGTGCATTCTGGTTTCTGAGTTCTATGCTTGCCAACACTTACTTTCCACTTTTTAAAAAGTGGAGCCATCCTAGTAAGTGTGAAGTGGTACCTCATTACGGTTTTAATTTGCATTGCCCTGATGACTAACGATTCTGAGTCTCTTTTCAAACTATGTTAGCCATTCATGTATCTTCATTAGAGAAATTAGTAATGCTGTGCCCATTTTTAATTGGACTTTTTGTTAAATTGTAGTTCTTTATATATTCTGGTATTAATCCCTTACCAGATATATAACTTACAAGTATTTTCTCCCATTCTGTAGGTTGCCTTACTTTTTTTGATAATGTCCTTTGATGCACAAATATTTTTAATTTTGTGCATAAAAATTTAATTTTAATTTTGATGAAGTCCAATTTATCTTTTGTTATTCATGCTTTTGGTGTCTTAAGAACCCTTTGGCAAATTAAAGGTCATGAAGTACACCCCTATGTTTCTTCTAAAAGTCTGATGGTTTCAGCTCTTATACTTAGATATGTCACTGATCTATTTGGAGTAAATATTTGTATATGGTGTGAGTTAGGGCTCTGAATTCACTCTTTTGCTTGTGGAAATCCAGTTATTCCAGCATCATCTGTTGAAAAGATTTTTCTTTCCTTATTGAACAAACTTGGAAACCTTGTCAAAAATCATTTGGTCACAGATGTATGGTTTAGACAACTCCTGAGTTGTAAAAGGAAAGAGAGAAACAGAGATGGTAACTATAGTATGTTTGTTACTGAGGGCAATGACCCAGAAGAGGGGAAAATTGATGATGCAGGAGAGAGAACTGCTTGTCTTAGCAGACAATAGGTGATGGAGTTTGGAAGAGGAATACAAGTGGAAGGTCTGGCCTTGGAGAATTTATCTAGAAGAACTGGCAGGAAGGCCAGTATGTCACTGCAGATGCTAATAGGTAGGTGGGCACGGTAGCAAATTACAGAAATGAATCCATCTACTCAACAAATACTTATTGGTTGCTTACACCTTACTTTGTGCCAGATATTGTTCTAAGGATACAATTGGTATTTTCAGCCATTTAAACTTTAGCCATTCTAATTGGTATCTAACGATATCTCACTGTGACTTTAATTTGCATTTCCATTTTTTTCTTTTCTGATTTTTTTGCCATTGATCTTCTCTGGTGAAGTATCTGTTCTGTTCTGAGGGTTCTCTGGTGAACCCTTATACATTGCTGGTGGGAATGTAAAATGGTGCAGCCACTGTGGAAAACAGTTTGGCAGTTCCTCAAAGAGCAAAACACGATTACTGTATGATCCAGTGAATCTACTTTTAGGCATATAAAGAACTGAAGGTATGAACTTGAACAGATACTTACATGCCAATATTTATTGCAATATTACTCGTAAGAGCCAAAAGGTGGAAACACCCCAAGTGTCCACTGAAAAATGAATGGATAAATATGCTATACACAGGCAATGGAATATTTAGCCACAAAAGGAGTGTAGTTCTGATACATGCTACAACATGAATGGACCTTGAAAATGTTCTGCGAAGTGAAGTATGCAGACACAGTGAATCAAAACACAGGTCCCTGTGCTCATGGAGCTACCACATTTAAGGATAAGAAAGCAATACCAAACACAAAGGACTATGGCAGGCTTGAGGATCTGAAAGTTGAACTGGACTGTGGATGTTTGGGCAACACCATCAAATTTATGTTTAAAATGGCTGCTAGGGGGCCCGTCAGTGGTTACTGTAGAAAATCTGAAGGTTTCTTTACCTCCCAGGAATAATTTTGGTCAGTAAGCAACATTAGTGTAAGTTTTCACATGTAAAGTCAATATATCAACTACTGCAGATAAAAGTGAAGACAAATGTGTCTTCTGTAAACTTGCAGTAAAGCAATGGATTAAATTCTGGGATTTAAATCTTCTGAATAGTGTTTCCTCTCTCAAACTGATCCATAAGTAAATTGTTTATATGTCCATCTGTTTTAGAATCCAGAATAAGTAGAAAGTCAAATAAAATTTATTATCACTGATGACTTTTTATGGAAACTCTATACCCTCAAAAATTTAAAATCTTAATTAAAAGTCTAGTGAAGACTTAACTGTAGAAGCAAATGAAGATAAGAATTGCCGTATCAGTGAACTTAATACTTGTCTCATGGTTCTCTTACCATTTTTGTACTCTAAAGGTTCACACTTAGATGACATATCACCCTCAGAGCAGTGGAGATTTGATGGGCTACTTAATCTAGACCTAAACCACCTTGAAAATCTGCTCCCACTCATCACTCAGAAGTCACTTCCACCTATCCCTAAATTCTCAGAAGAATCCTGAGTCATGAGAGAAATTCTAAAGAGCCAGTGAAGGATCTTTACAGGTTGAAAAGGAGCCCTGAGGAGATACTCATTTTGTTTCTGAACTTCTTTGAGCATATCAGATCAGAAATATCTAGGCCTTAATGAAGTCATGTCTTTCGCAGTGACACGGATGGAGCTGGAGGCCATCACCCTAAGTGAAGTAATTCAGAAACAGAAAATCAACTATCACACGTTCTCACTCGTAAGTGGAAGCTAATCAATGGGTACACATGGACATATAGAGGGAAAGAACAGACTCCCGGGACTCCAAAAGAGAGAGGGTAGTAAGAGGGTGAAAGGTGGAAAATTACCTATTGACTATAATGTCCACTACTAAGGTGATGGGTACACTAGTAGCCATTATGCAGCATGTCCATGTTAACACACCTGCACATGTACCCCTGGAATCTATAAAAATGAACGTTTAAAAAATGTAAACATTAAGCCTCCAAGGGATAAAGACAAATGGCTTCTACTTCAGGTTCTCTCTCAAACTGCAGTGGGCAACAGAAAGGAAAAATTCCAGGTAAAAACAAAAAGCTGACCACAGGTGACTTTTTAAGTGGTATTATGAACTGTTCTTGTGGCTCAAGGTCTTACCTGGGTGTCTGTATTAAGGAAATTCATAAAGTAAGACTGGAAAAGAGTAAGAAAACTTTGTAAAATGTCATGGAATCACTGTAAAATATGCCACTATTTGACATTAGCCAAATAATGTACTCATGATACTTAATATTTTGTAAATTTCTATAGTATAAATGGAAAAAAATTCTGATTGTTATTTTGCTTCCTGGACTCTTGCTTTTCGGAAAGTGTTTCACTGGAGATCAAAAAGTACTGTTGCTGGGAAAATAAATATTTTAGTGATGAAGTTCTATGTGGCTTCAGTCAAAGCATCTCAATGTGTGCTGTGTATATCTACATATAGATAGATACACTATTATCCATTTCTCAGACTATATTTTGAAATTGCCAGTTTCAAGCCTAGAATTACTCAAATGTCAAACTGAGTCATCCAATTTAAGTATTTTAGGATCTTACGGTCAGCATGAGAAATAAACTTGTACGCAATTCCTCTAACTTCCAACAAAGGGATTCCTATAGTTAGAAAATCTTTTTGTCTGCTATACATTATAATATAAAATCTAAAAATTCACCACCTTCCAGGCTCCAGCACGTGTTTGGGAAAAAAAAAATATGTACATATAGAAGATATGCTTTGTTACTTTGTTCTAATATATTTTAAAAATACCATTATAAGAGCAGAGTTCTGGAGCAGAAATATGCAATTCAACTTTATTGATTATGCCTAAGGCATAGGGAAATGAATTAAGTGGAATTATGGATGGTGGTAAACAAGATGAAACGGGTGACAGAGAATAATAAATATAATTTTTTGATGGATCTTACAAACTATTAGTAAAAATGTGTAATTCTCACCTCAAAGATGCTTTAAGCTATGAAACACATTTAAATGGAGTAACTAAAAGAAGATCAATTAACAGGATGTGAAGGGATTGTATAAACATGAGAGGCTAGCAAGGCTGAAACCTTTTCTCCTCCAAATATTTCTGACATTTGTTGTATGCTTAAGAAAGGAGCATATATTTCTTCTAATAAGCTTTACACAAGTAGTTCTTATGGATATATCCTTTCAAACATAAACCAAAGCCAAATAAAAGTAAAATTTTTCCTAATTTTTCTTATCAGAAAAGTTAACAATCCCCTATCTTAAATAAACTGATACAGTTTCCAGCACCTACTAATGGCTCTAAGATGTTCATAAATTTAATTCTGCTTAATGTTGGGATGAAATCTGTCTCCCAGCACAGCAGCATAAGGATCTATCCACCATTATTCAGAGAGCCCAAGGACAGTCTTCAAGTCTCTATTTTACCATACCATTCTCCTTATGTTCCTAGTACATTTAAAGAATTCTGTTTTAGCTTCATAAGTGAACTACCCACCAACCAGAAATGCTTTTCCTCAACTTCTTTAATCTATAAAAATTTCATGCACACAACCTGATAAAATACATCAGAGTCAGGACATCCGATTTAAGTATTTTAGGCATATTTAATAAATAACTTCAGTAAATAGCACTGTAAAAAGTGAACTGTTAAAACTAAAGGCACTTAAAACAAGAATGTGACTAGTATGAAACAAGATGGGCAACTCAAATGGTGAGAAGTAAACATACAGTGGTCTGCTATGGCACTAATTCGAAGTAAGACTCGCATAGGTGAGAGCTGTTGCATAGCCACGGTACAACTTCACATGTTCATTAAAAAGGCAAATTGACTGCTAAAACTTCAAAGAAAAAGTACTCATAAAAAAAGTCTTAACCCAAAATTGCAAACAAATACATTAAAAGATTAGAAGAGGTGATAAAAAGCACCAGACATTAAACAAAATAAAAATAATAAAATAAAATAAATTCAACTTGAAAGGTCCCCATTCAGCAAATACTTTGCAAAGTATGGCCTTTATGTAAATAGTGCTAAATCAAGGACTTTTTAGCAGAAAATTGCTCGGTTCTTATACCTAAGGCTTGAATTTGTAAAGTGAAGGCATAAAAGTTACCAAACATTAACTCTTAAAATGGCACACAGGTTTTAAAGCTATTGGTTCTTCCTTCCTAACTCTCTGAATTTTTCCCATGGCCTGTGGAGATCAACTATTTCAAACCTATTTTACACCAGCAACTCTAAATGTACTTGTCTTTCAGATATGTCATCAGTCATGTCTAACAGGCAAATAGCAAAATAACAGATTTAAAACAATCCTTAACTAGCTAGCAGGACATTTACTTTGGATTCTGCGTAACTGCAAACTGACATATTTGTAAAGCTAAAAATCAGTTTTAATACATGATTAACAGAAACTCTCATCATGCTCATTAACTATTGCCCTTTCAATCACTGTAGAAATATCACTTAATCCAATAAGCTTGATTTCAATAGTCCAGGAAGAAAAGGTCAAAAAGGCACAATGTGACCTTAGCTGACAAGAATAAGCATCCTGTCTCAAGTCTTTTGTCAGTCCCTGGCATGAATTACATTATTTTCAAAATAATAAAACATTTTAAAAATTATACATATTGTACATTTTCAAAACCTGCACATGAGCCAAACCATGGCAATATTGCCCTAAAGCTACCTAACTGTGACTATGGAAATTGCTACTTTGCATTCAGTGTTGTGGGATTTGCACAGGCGGTACTCATTTTCCCTCATACTTCGGATTGACCACAGTTGTCACGGCACTCTTATAAATAGGATTTTCACCCTAAAAAAAAAAAAAAGAAAAATTATCACTCTACTAAAATTATATAGAATAATTTTTATAAATCAAGACTAAGAGTTGTAATCATCTTAAGAAGTCATTTCTATTTTATTTGTCCAGATATCACAGTTGTTTTAAAGGTATTAATAATGGCTTATATAAAAATAGAAAATGGAAGCTTTGCTTTACAAGTCTAATGATGCCCCTATCTGGTGCTATTTCATTCTTGAGTCCTTCCCTCCATTGAAGGCTTAAGAATGTTCTCCATGGCACAGAATGTACTGTCATCGTGGATTCTCTCCTTTGAATTAGTCTGTAATGCCTGCCTTAAGGAAGCATGAACTCTGCTGCCATCACTGCCTGATTCTTATCCCTTTATTGTGAACAGAAGGCGCCTGCTAATCAAAACGGGAATCCTCGGCTTTCACTGCTGGGAGGGAGGTGTGCTTCTGGGGTCTCCTACAGAAGTTACTAATTTAGAGGGTAAGGCTGCCATTGTGTTATGGATAGCACTGTGCCCCACCAAGTCACACTGCCAAATTTGCTTAGAATGTTAGATAATTACCATTCCTTATGAAATAGTTGTTATTCTTCAACATCATATTGGTGAAATGTCCTATTGCAATGCTATTATTTAGTAAACAGTATGAAATCAAGGCTAGCAAGCAGGCTCCAAGCCATAAACACAAGAGATCTTTCAAGATCCAAAAATATACTGACAGTGATGTTTTCAGCAGAAAAAAACATATCACTGTATCACCATGTTCCTTAAAAATTCTCTTATACTGCAAGTGCTACATGTAAATACTTGCTATAGCATTCTTTTTTCTCCTGTTCTTATAAATTGAAAGCAGGCTTGAAAGCCAAGTGAGAAGTGTGACCAAATAACACTTTAGCAGAGCAAATTACAGTGCGTACAAATCAAAAATACTTGTTAACTACCAGGAAAATTTTTTTTCAGGAAAAAATTAAGATTTTGGAATGTTGTTCGGTTTTATATCTCACTATAGAACCAACTGCAGGTGATTTTTTAAAAAATAGAAAGCATCTAAAAACATTTTTTGATCTAAAAGTAAATTTTGTTTTTAAATTTTATTCACACTTCATTGCAGACTGTATTTGGATCTGCCTTTTGGTGCCACAATTTCTGCCCTCAAGGAAGGTATAGTTTGGCGGGTGAGAGACATGAAAATAAGGCACTCTGATAAAGTTTACAATAGAGTTATGAACATAATCTGGGAATGGTATAAGAAAAAAGTTATCAACTTTAAGAAGATTAAGGAGATTTTCATTGTGAAATTGACTATAGATAAATTATTGGCTGGTAAACAAAAATCTATGCAAGGTCAAGGTGTAGGGAAAAGAATGGGACATTTAAATAGAAATATATATAGTTCAGAAGTTTTTAGAGTTAGGGGAGGGCAGGCGCAGTGGCTCATGCCTGTAATCCCAGAACTTTGAGAGGCCGAGGGGTGGATCACTTGAGGTCAGGAGTTTGAGATCAGCCGGGACAACATGGTGAAACCCTGTCTCTACTAAAAGTACAAAACTTAGCTGGGTGTGGTGGCGTGTGCCTGTAATCCCAGCTACTCGGGAGGCTGGGATAGGGGAATCACTTGAACCCGGGAGGCGGAGATTGCAGTAAGCCAAGATCGCAGCACTGCACTCCAGCCTGGCCAAAGGAGCAAGACTCCATCTCAAAAAAAAAAAAAAAAGAGTTAAGGGGGCATATGTTTTGAGGTGAGGAGACAAAGGAAGAACGGCCCTAGAGGCCTTGCTATGAAGTCTGACCTTCATCCTGTAGGTATCCCATACCACCAAGGGAAAAATGTAGCATATAAAAGGCTGGGTCCCACAAGACACCAAATAAACCTCTGTGATTTCAGCTCAGCAGCTCATGTGATACCAATCAGAACCTGACAACATGCCTCAGTCCTCATCACTCCCCCTCCTCAAAATACACCTTGAATGGCTGCTGCAGAAACACGGACAAGCTCAGGATCCCTCAAACAGCATATGATGTGGATGACAAAACTGTGTACATCAAACTCTCAGCTCTAGTCCCAACTGAAGCTAATACATTATACAGTTTTGAGAGCAGACATTTCAAAATGGGGGTCAGGAAACTGGATTCTAGCAACTACCATCTTAAAAAGCCAGAGTGCAAATAAATTACACTCCACATTTATATCCTATCTGATTTGAGGCTAAGTGCTACGCATTCCTTCAAATATGTTGGGAAAATAAATTACCATCTAAGTTTCTTTAAAATCATATATTTGCTAAATCTAGTATTTAATACTCAAGAATTATAAGGGAAGGACAAAAAAAAAAAAAGAAAACAAAAAATAAAAAAAGCCCTATACGGATGAGTCCAAAGTGTAATTTATATGGAAGAACTTACCTTTGGAGAAAAATCTGTCTTGTCATATACACAAACATTTGTATTTATTATTTCAAAGTCCATTCAAACAAAAGTTTAACATGCAAGGTTAGAGGTAAAATTAAGCTCACTATCTGCATTAGGCATCATTTTAAATGAAGGTGAACTAAAATAATTCAGATTAGTTTCCATCATTCAGAGTGCACCACCCCCCAACCCCAATAAAATCCACATCAAGAGAACAGGGTTATATTATGAAAGGAAGCCCTCAAGCTCAATAAAATGTCATCTTTGTGCTCACTCTGGAATGGCTGACAGTGGTAGCTACAGAACCATTTCTATAATGTATTAAATATGTAATGCAGAACTGTGGGAGATTTGGGATCCACATTTAAACCTGCATAGAGCAGATTAGGACAGACCATTTTTTTTAACCCACTCCAACAGTTAGAAGCTGGTAATGTGACATGTTCTTTTTAATGCTCCTACATGGTAGTCTGGTGCCAAAGTAATTAGTGCCTACCCATTATTTCAAAAAGTTTAATGACGTAATTGACTGGCAAACCTTGGTCCGTATCAGAAAAGTTTTTTACAATCCGTGATGTAATTTCTTGATGCTCCTTCATTTATTTCAATTGTTAATTTCTACTTTTTCTTGAGAAAACATCTCTTAAAATAATCTGTAGCCATCAAATTGCCTGGACTTCAATAATGCATAGAGAAATGTTTACCAAACTTTTGCTTCTTGAATTACATAAAATGCCTATTTTAGCAACATTTTAGCCATATATACATTATAAACATTAAGTTTAAGTAACATTTACTCATTATTTCCTTCAAAATACAATTAAAGGTACAGCAAGGTTGAAAATTTCACCTCAGTAGGTCAGAAATTTTTTCTCCTGCGAGAAATAACCACACGAAATTGTCAACATTTGCCTATTTTTGACCTACAACTAAAGAAAATAATATCTATTAAAAAAAAAAAAAAAAAAAAAAGGCCTGGCAATGTCATTGGCTAATCAGTTTTCCTCTAAAAATGACTTTCTGTAAAGTACTAAGTGAGAACGAGAAAAATGTGTTGTCTCAGACTAACACAAATTTGTACCAACCTGCTCGTATGTTAAATTTGAATATAATTTTCTGCCAACAAATTTAAGTTTAAAAAGTCTTACGATCTACTTAGAAATAAAAATCTGACAAGTTAATGATTTCTAATGTTATCAGTCCTTCCCATATCACTTGTAACTATTAAACATTCCTGTCCTTTAAGCTCTTATTCATGATCAGTTTGTAAGCACACTCTCAACAGTCAATAAGCACAACTGCAGCACTGGGTTCCATGTATTAAAGTGATGTCCCTAATATGATGTTTGCCAACGGCAGCAGTGTTAACTCTGACAGAGTAACAACAAATTGTAAAAAGGCTGTAAATCTCTATAAAGAGTGATCTACCTCTTCCTAACCAGGTAACAGGGACTTCTGAAGATACATAGCTGCTACGAAGTACAATGTCGTAGACAAGAACATGGACTCTGGAGCCCAACTGCCTGGGTTCAAATTTCAGCTCTCTGACTGACTAGCCATGGGAACTCGGTCAAGTTACATAACCCTTATGTGTCTCAGTTTTCTCATATGTAAAACATTCCTACAACTTTCACTATGAAGATTAAATATAGATTAAGAGTTTAGAATCATGCCTGAGACACAATGATCTGTATGTGTCACCAACACTGTCTTTATCTGCACAATAAGGTAGGCAGTGAGAAAAGTGGAAATCTTCCAGGCCCTATTATAGTCAGACAGTTGGGAAAAGGAGGAAGAGTTCTCAATCACCAGTCAGGAGAATTTAGTTCTAATCACAATTAACCTTTGTTATCAGAGTTTTAGGGGCTTGCATGATTATATTAGAATATGCTGGAAACATTTCATGAAAATTCAGGTATGAAGTTATAAACTTACATTTGAAAATTAGAATCATTCTCACATACACAGACACACACACATATATATATAATATACATACATATATATGGTCTTCTGGCTTTTAATGAAATTTTAAGTTATATTCAGGAAACTGATTTCAAATCTTTTGAGAACCAATAATGATACTGTAGTTGCATACCATACAAATATCACACTAGGTTACATTTAATTTTCTATTCTGCAATTTGGATTTCATGATCGATTTTCACTATCCGACCCTAAAATTTACTCATAACAAATTTGTTATTTAAGGATAATACTGGTGGGGCACAGTGGCTCACACCTGTAATCCCAGCATTTTGGGAGGCCAAGGCAGGTGGAACACCAGAGGTCAGGACTTCAAGGCCAGCCCAGCCAACATGGTGAAACCCTGTCTCTACTAAAAGTACAAAACTTAGCTTGGTGTGGTGGCGTGTGCCTGTAATCCCAGCTACTCGGGAGGCTGAGGCAGGAGAATCGCTGGAATCTGGAAAGCAGAGGTTGCAGTGAGCTGTCATCACACCACTGCACTCCAGGTTGGGCGACAGAGCAAGACTCTGTCTCAAAAAAAAAAAAAAAAAAGAAAAAGGGATAATATTATTCTAGGCATAGGACTGTTGTGAGGATTAGAGCTGACAGGCTGATTTCATATACTGGAGTGCATTTGCCAAATACAACCACCCCATACAATACAGAGTACTGACTCCCTGTGATAGATGAGAAGTGAAGTGGCTCAATGCTGTTCTGCTTACTAAGTGGAAGAGGTGGGATTTGACCTAATGTCTAACTAATTGCAAAGCACATTCTCTTTTCACTACAACATAGCTGCTATTCTATATCACATTACTTATTTTACAGTCTTTCTAAGAAAAACGCGAAGTTAACACACAAAAAGAAAAGCCACAATAGCGATATTTAAAGCCAGACTTAAAAAAAGACCAGCAATAGTGATAAGGGCACACAGTGCAGTAAAAAAGATAAAAGTTCACATGCAAAGGCAGAAAGTGAAGGAAAATACGAACGGCAATTTAGAGACCAGCTTTACGTCCGTAGTTTGGATTCTTGAAATTATTAATAGGACTCTTGTAAATCGGATTTTCTTGCTAAAGTAAAAGAAATAGTTTCTAATGATTTCATCAGAAAAAAAAAGGACATTTATAGTGTTCAAACACTATAAAGGGAATTTTTTTTCTATTTCTACCCTTCTGCAATTTATAATTTAAAAAATTGATAATTTTAAAAAACCCAAGGAAATTGTAGTAAAGTGCAACTAACTACAATTCATTTACAATTTAAAAATACTGAAGATTGTCATTGCTTTCTTGTATCAAAAGATGGATACACAAAGGCCAACATTTGGTTACCCCACCCTCTGACTCCTTATTTCAAAGCTCTAAAAATGCTAACATAAACTTTCAGTCACTTAGGGCTTTTAAGATTTTTATAAGCTAAGGTTTACTGAGATACAATTTTCATAGAGGAACATACATCTTTTTAAAGTACATAGTTCTGTGAGTTTTCAAATACATAAATCTACCCACAATCAAGATTATCCCCAGGAAGATTCCTTACGCCCTGTTGTGGTCAACCCTTTCCCCCATTCCAGCCCCTAGCAACCACTGATTTTTGCCCCTACAGTTTTGCTTTTCCAGAATATCTTCTAAATGGAATCATATTGTATACAGCAGGGGTGTCCAATCTTTTGGCTTCCCTGGGCCACATTGGAAGAAGAATGATTGTCTTGGGCCACACATAAAATACACTAACGATAGCCAATAAGCTTAAAAAAAAGTCACACAAAAAAAAAAAAACCAAAAACTTACAATTTCTAAGAAAGTTTACAAATTTGTGTTGGGGCCACATTCAAAGCTGTTCTGGTCTGCATGTCCTGGCCCACAAGCTGCAAGTTGGACAAACTTGGTATACAACCTTTTGAATCTGGCTTTCATTGAAGGTTCTTTGTTTTTTTGTTTCTTTTTTTAAAGAAAGAAACAGCTTTCCATTGAATAGCTTGCTACACAGATAACATTATTTAGGATTCTGCCCCACATTAGATGAAAAGGCAGATTTAGGATTGAAACTATTAAAGAAATAAAAATACTGGCCACAGTAACCAGAATATACATGCTTATAATCAATGTTTTGTTTCAATGGGATATATTTAGGATGCTTTCTGTTTTTCACTAAATGCAAATTCCTTGAGTAACTTTTGGGGGAATAAAACACTTAAAAATGACTTTAATGATCACCCTGACAGTTAATATATAAGTCTTAGGAGTATTACATTTACTTTATGAGCCACTTTGCTTTTTAGATGTTTTGTAACTTACCGTGTCCCATTTGGCATTCATTTTCTCCTTTTCAAATTTAGCAAACTCCCTTCTGTCATGAATTATCATTAAAAGCTTCCATATCAGCAGTAATGCAAGGCCAATAAGAACAATTCCAGCAACCACACCAGCTACAATTGGAATGATGTCTGGACCAGTGGGACACTCTGGAAAATAAGAAGGTTATAATAAGTACCACAAAGCTGGGCAGTATCTTATTAAAAAAAAATACAGGAATAAACACCCAAGAGAGTGAACGCACACTATCCCAAAGAATCTATAAAATAGCTTTTAGAACTAACAAGTGAGTTTACAAGCTTGCAGGATACATAATCAAGGAACAAAAATCATGTACTTTTCTATATATATAATTTATTTCCACATATTGAAAACAGAAATTTTTAAACAGTAATATTTACTATAGAATGAAAAAGCATGAAAAACTTACATATAAGTCTAACAAAATATATGCAAAATTTGCATGTTAAGAATTACTAAACACTGATAAAAAGAAATCTTTCAGACTGAATAAATGGAGATACTCCATGTGCAGGAGTTACAAAACCTAATACTGTTAAGATGTCAATTCTTCCCAGTTTGATCTATAAACTCAATAGTATCCCACTCAAACTCCTGGCAGAACTTCTGTAGCAATCAGCAAGCCAATTTTAAAATTAACGTGGAAGGCAGTGAACTAGGGGAAGTGTCTCAAAAACACTTTTGTAAAATAATAAAGTTGGAAGACTCTTATTACCTGCTTTCAGGGCTAGCTATAAAGAAAGCTACAAGACCACGTGGTATAGCTAACAGATAGACACTCAGACACATGGAACAGAATAGAGTCAGAAACAGGCCTACACATGTAAGGTCACCTGATTTTCAACAAAGGTGGAGAAAGCACAGTCTTTTTTCAACAGATGCCCCTAGAACAAGTGGACACTGATATGAAAAAAACTGAGCCTTTTGTCACACACTAAGAATAACTAAAGATGAGTTACAGATCTAAATGTGAAACCCCAGAAACTATAAAACTTCTAGAAAAAAACACAGGAGAAAAATCCTTAAAATCTTGGGTTAGGCAGAGTTCTGAAAGACAATGTAAAAATAAGAGCCACAAAAGAAAAACTTGGTAAACTGTACTTAATCAAAATTAAAACCTGTGGTATTCAAAAGACACTTAAAAAAATGAAACGATAAGGAGGCACAGGCTGGGAGACAATATTTGCAAAACACCTAGATGATAATTCAAAACACTACAGGACTCTAAGAACCTGGCAGCTTCTTACAAAGTTAAACATATGCTTACCATATGCTCCAAAATGCCATTCTTACTATTTACCCAAGAGAAATGAAAGCTTATGTTTACACAAAAACATGTACACTAAGGTAAAAAATTCTAAAGAATCTACAAAAAGGCTACCAAGAAAACTAAGATTAAAAAAAAAAAAGTTTCACCTTCAGAGAAGTTGAACAAAATCAACACTTTATATTAATATCCTTTAACAAATTATCTTTCCTAGTATTCAAACTTAAATCAAGCTCTAATTTTAAAATCATCAATCATAAAAAAAAAACTCTTACTACGCACTTGGTGTCAGGCATCGTTCTAAGTGTCTTATATAAATCACTGCATTTAATCTTCAAACTCTCCACTTAGAAAACTTAAAAGTGGAACTCTGTTTTCCTTATTTCTTATACAGTTAATTAGGTAATATTTTAAGCTTTGAAAGATGAAAAATTTCCCAACTTGACCTAAAATATTCCAGCTGGAGACTGTTTCTGGATGTTAGGCCTAAATAAGCAGAAACAAGACATACAAAATATGAAAAGAATGTTTGCAATCATCGCATTTCTACCTGGATTCTCCACAACATGAACCATGACCTCATTGTTCCCATTCACTGAATATGTAAAATAGAACCAACAGTCGTCAACATCCTTCTCCTTACAATGGGACACAGGATCAGGTTGGACTGGCTGGGGTAATTTGTCCCGACTTTCTACCTTGGTAATGTTAAAATAGGAACATTCCTGTGCGCATGTGTCTTTCTTTTCTCCTTTATTGAAGGCTCTGCACTGAACACATTCTCTGTTAAAAAAAAAA